CAGATACACCTTGCTGATAAGTCCTAACAGACACATAATCTAGGTCCAGGATTTCCCTGCTAATCGCCTCCAACTAACTAACACCCATCACAGTGTAACGTGATAGTGAGCATCCTTACTTGATGGCCACATTACAAAGGAAACCGACAACACTCAGGATTGGACAACATAAAATTAGTTGCTCTCCAGTGATCAATGAATGAAAAACAAACATTTCCACTAAAATTAAAGTCTTCAACTTTCCTTGTCAAATGTATTTAGTTTTCAGAACTCTGGTTATTCACCTGAAGTAAGTATGAACATCATATTAAATAAAGTCTAAGAAAGCTTGGAAAATTAAACAAAGTGGACCTTTCCACAGTTTAATCAGACATTAGCGTAGCAATGACTTAAACATTCTAGATTATAACTGATCAACATCTAAGTTAGTCTGTTTGTATCCGACTGAATGCTCATTGAGATAATCCACAGTAGATAAGTTCCCAACTCTTGTTGCCTCAGAATGTATTTACCAGTTCACATATACTTTCCAAAGCATATATATTGGAAGAAGCGTGAGAAGGGTTCTTGTCCTCATCTCTCCACATATCTCGAAGAATTTGAGTCCTAAAGGTCTACAGCGTTTAAATAGCTTACTCTTTCGTCATTCGTTTGTTACTGGACATAAAGTCGATGTATTGAAGTCGTCAACTGAAGTGATCAATAAACAACTAGAAGGAGTAGAAGGAGTTGCAACGAAAAGACTCTAACTTGACCTATGTGTTCAGAAAGATACTGTTGTCAAACTTGGTGATTTCAATCTCCTAAATTTGTGAATATAAAACATCATGACCTCATGACCCTCTGTTTTTCAATTGATTTTCCGATCTATTCATTTTATTACTCAATATAGGGTAAACCTGTTGACCTTTTAAATCACACTTACTTAATCATGAAGTGATTTTTAGAAATTCTAGAATAACACTGTGCCCACACACACTCCTCCACATGTATAATTCTGACTATCTGAGGCAGCCGTGGTTTGGTAGACTTGTATTTATACTGGGTGATGATTGAGGGTGAAATGAAAATTTGAACCGTGACTGGACTCGAACCAGCCACCACCGGGTTTCCAACCCGATGCTCTACCAACTGAACTACGAAGTCCGACCGCTGACCAAACTTTAACTTCACCTTCAGTCATTCTACCACTGTATAAACAGTCGACCTTTGAGTAGTCTTAGCAACCTCATTAATTTTAGTCAACCTAAATCTTTTTTACCTTCCATCTCAATTGAAACATTCTTGTTGATTTATAGAAGTGCTTTATATACCATGCTTCTTATCATATACATTATATCCATAGGTTGTAAAGCAGCTGATGAGAATCCACGAAATACATGCATGCTAATTCTGTTCTCCTTGCTTTATCCACACTACTTAAATGAGCGACATTACCAAGTGACCAATTGATTTTATTTATCTATGACTCATGGGAAACGTTATCCACTGGATTTTCACATCCTTTTATCTTCTCGTTCTTGAACGGTTAACTGCTGACGATCACTGTTATTATTGAACATCATTACATTCTATTCGCTTATTCATTCGTTAACTCTATAAAGTTTTCATCTCATTACCTCTAAAGAAAGTAATGGAAAAGATTGAAAGTTCAGGTCATGATCAGTTCACAATACATATTTTAAAAACGAATTGATCCCCTAGTGGAATGTGCCTACTGCTGAGGAGTCTCACACTAGGATGAAACAGCTGCCCGGTCTTTGTAGGTGTTCAATAGTTCATTAGTGGATGCCACTTCTTGATGAATACCAACCTGAAATCGATTAATCTATTGCTCGCTGGTGCAATACTTTGAGAAGAAATCACCTGAAGTTTGAATGAGAGATGGTGACCATTAGGATCACCCAAGTCAGACTTGAGGACAAATATTTACAAATAGCATTTGATAGATTTCACACTATATTGAGACATGACAAAAACACGAGAATGTGAACCATTGGATTCCGATCCGGTGGCTCAGTGACAACATGTTCTCTGAGAACCCTGAATGTCCTGCGTTCGATCCATGGTGAGGTCATGAGTGCTCACTGCTGTTCAGTGCCTTTTGATTACCAGTAGGTCTTCAACAATGTAAGTCCATGACGAGTGATATCTTCGAGGTGAATCACTTTTGTTACTGAAAATCATGCAGTTTATCAGCGGGAAATAGTCATATTATCATATATTATTTGTCCCTTGGGTTCCTAATAGAACATAGGGCTTCAGTAGCACGTCTCCAATGCGCTCTGTTCTCTGAAATCTTTTGAACCTGGCTCCTCGACAGCCCACAAGCTCTCTTACCTACAGCCTGTTCTGCTTCACTTGCCAGTGTTTCGTAGAAGTGTCTTTTGTCTTTCCGCGCACTCTTCTTCACTTCTTTGTCCACTGTAGTGTTTTATACGTTGTACTCGGTTTCTCTTCTCCTTGTTCATCCCTACCTGCACTCGACTGCTTCGTCTTCTACTTCACCATCCTCCTCTCCCTGCCCTATCAGCTTCCATGTATCCATCGAGATCCATTCCTTATCTTCTTCCTTCTTCCTCCTTCCTAATACCGTTGTCCAGGTTTCTTTACACATAGCTTTTAAGCAGTTCCAGTGTTCATCCACACAGGTTTCTTCAGGGATGTTCCTTGATATCTCCCATTTTGCCTTGATGGTTGCCGCGAAGATTTCCTTTGTAGTTGGGAAATAGTCATATTACCATTAAATTAAGTGATGCAATATTACAGTGTGGTCCTGATGCCACTAGTTCGAGTTTTGCCATAATCCAGATCTTCATTTCACCTTCAATCATCAGCCGGTCTCGAAAATACTAAGTTGTCTTCATAGACAACTATTGCCAACTGATTTCTCCACTGCCTCTCGGAAACTATTTTTGTCTATATGTATATACTACTGAAAGGTGGATTTTTTTTTTGTTACTTAAATTAAGTTGCGTGATTTGATGTCTTGAAGCATTAATCTGACTACATACCTGTATAACAAGTGTCTCTTTATCAATATTTACTATCTAACTGACATAAGATGACAAGCATTATGGATATGAGCCTATTTATTTACTTATATTTGCATATATGCTATGCGAATGTGACGTTAGCAACTAAACTCTGAGAAACAATCATCTTATTTATCAGTTTTAAATAAAAAGAAAATCCCCAGTGGTCAACATGGACAGTAAATATTCGTATCTGAAGGATTTTGTCAGCATACCAATCATGATACTATTATGAAATATAGAAGACGGTAAATGATGAAATTCAAAGCTTCAACCCCCTCTCTCTATATATATATAGCTCCCAGACTTCCTCCATCATTGTCTCTCTCTCTCTCTGTAATATACTGAAATAAACCATTCACATACTGATTATTGTTCATATTTCATGACATAAGAGATTAGTTTCCTATTGAAATTGAGCTTAACTAACATTGATACCTGCGTATAAACATATTATTTTACATGTCTGTCAACATAGATCCTATGCTTTGCTTAAATTTTACGATTTTCCTTCATCTCCTCATTCCTCTATGTCTATCATCTTCTAGTCATTTTGTCACTGTGATTAAAATACAAAATTAAGTGACTAGTTTAGTTTCTGGGATCATATATTCACATATACAATATTATGACAGTTAATTATGAAACTATTTGACAAGGTAGAATGCCTGTTTTGTTACATAAGCGAAAGAAGGTAAGAATGAAATAAGTTGAAAGGTAGCCTTCTTTTATGATCAGACTGTAAAACAAGCCTACCATTTTATTGTATGATGTAAATGAATTTATCTAACTATACCAAGTGTTGCAATTCAATTACCAGATAGCAGTGAGTGAATATCTAGCAATCAAAATCTGGGCAATATCTCAGACTGGAGTATAAGTCGACATGAGTTCAGCTCAGAATAACTCATTAACATTAGGGATGAAACCTTGATAAAAGCAAAAACTGTCAATTCCATATTAGATTTGTTTATTTGATATATAGCGCACAGGGATATAGTATTATTTACTTGATTATGTTTCGAGCATTAATTATTGCTCATAATTATATCAATCTGATTGATATGATTCTGACCAATAATTTATGCTCGAAATGTAATCAAGTAAATAATATGGAATTACATTCTACCACAGTGCCCAAGTTTTACACTTATATTAACAAAAACTGTCAACTTCTCAAAACCAAGTCTGACACTTTATAGTCTTTTGTAGGATGAAGTGGTAGACATACAAGTTACCCAATTTGATTTTTAAGGTGTATGTTTTTTTTAATTGAAGAGTCAATTATGAAGTTTGTGAAGATTTACTTATTGATTTCAGGTTGGCGTTCATCATGGATTGACATCATTTGGAGGAATATTGGAAATCTGAAAGCATTAGACAGCTCTTTCACCCCAGTATGAGACCCTACATCAGTGCGCGCTCATGACCCTGACATTGGTCGAACCCAGAACCTTCAGGTCCCACGGCCAACACATTACTATTGAACCACTGAGTATTAATCCAATGATCCATATTTCCTACTTCTGTCAGTTCCTTATGTAGCACGACCTCCATCCAATATCGTTTGTTGAATAACTGTCTCTATGTTCGACTTTGTTGGTCCCACCGGTCATGACTTCTTACTGGGACTTCAAGAATCACTTTTCGGGCACTAGATAAATTCAGTTTGGAGGTTTGTAGGGGGATCGATTGATTTCAGGTTACTGTACACCATAGACAGACATCAACCGGAGAACAACATTGAAAACTGCCGAACCTGAAGGTCCTGGGTTCGAGCGCAGGCATAGTCATGGGTGTGTACTGTTGAGAAGTCCCACACTAAGGCACAACAACTGCCCAATGCCCCTAGGTTTCCAATCTTTGTACAGCTGGTATCAATTCATGATGAATACTAACCTGAGATCAAGAGTCAGTTAGTCCAATTGCTATTTCAAAACAGTATATATATATAAATTCACTTACCTAAAATAATCTTCTCTACAGTATGCTTTACAATCACGTACAAAACATGTTGAATCATTCATTAATGAACGTAAACACTTTGAACAATTTAAACAACGTATATGCCATTTTAAATTAGGTTGAACATTTAATATAAATGGATCATAGATAATTAAACCACAACCAACACATTGTGATAATGTGGAAGAATTACATGTCAAAGATGATGTTGATGTTGGTATTAATCTTGAGAATTCACTTGTTGATGATATTGTTGACAGTGTTGAAGGTAATGAAGATGGATGCACTGAGGTGATATTATTAGTTGCAGTCATAACAGAATTCATTGTATCATCTAATTCAATGTATTGTTGTATATCAGATTTAAAGTTTATTCTTCCTGAAACAAAATGACGGAAGAAAAGATCGAAAATACATTTGAGGACGGAAAAATCATCATAGTAACAAATAATCATGAAAAATATCGTTAAAACTAAGTAATGTATCTAATCAAATCAAATTAAACGTCATTAGTTCGAATCCTTCCATGACCAAGTTTTCATTTCACCTTCAATCATTCACCCATAACAGTATACTGTAGTTATTTTTGTTCCTACTAGGTAATAATGATATGAACTGGAAAAGCTTGAAAAATGCTTTGCCACCGCTGGTCATGTCTTATAATCTCGTCAGAAAGTACCACTTGAAAAGGCTAAATTCCTGCAAAAGAGTTCCCTTCCTCACAAACAACTAACCATTGCAGAAGCTTTGCATATCTGTTTGTACCTTTCTGCGGTCTACAGAAAAGGCAAATTAAATATCCCACTAATATGGTAAAAAATAAGTAACTCGCATGGAAAGTTTCAAATGATGTGCAAGCAGGAAGGTTGAACAAAACTTCATTTCAAATTTCTCCACATGATTTATTCTGAACACCTTCACAAGCTATAGCCTCAAAGCTATGCTATACCCACCGCACAGAGAGTGGCTATTATGTTGAGATGGTCTAGTGGATAACGCTATGGCGTTTGAAACAACTGGTTCTAGGTATAGGTCATAGTAGGGACAACACCACTGATTGGGAGGCAAGCACATCCAGCTGAAGAGTCCCAAATAAGACGAAACCAATATCCTGGATTCTTCTGCTAGCCACAACCAAGTAAATTGGCATAATAAATATTCAGACAACATCAAGGCATCCATGAAAGAGCCCACAAGCCAATTCAGTTTAATCAACGACTATAACATCTTTAGTTTCATTCTCCTTCTAGTCAGCTCTCTAAATGACGTACTAAAACATGACGGCCATTGCCTGTAGACTTGTCGACCTCCTACGATTAATATTTAAGGAAATTCGAAGTAGCATTAAGATTATGTATGGTAATGATGGGCAGTGGCTAGCAGTGAAATCCAGGATGCTCATTTCCCGGTGGGAACAACACCACTCACTGAGAGGCAGGTACATCCAGTTGACGAGTCCCAAACAGAACGAAATCCGCATCCTCGATTCCACTGCTAGCCACTGCCCATCATTACTATATATAATTAAAACACAAGCAACATCGAGGCATCCTTAAAGGAGCCCATATGCCAACTGACACTGATCAATTCGGTCCAATCAACAACGATGTAATACAAGCAATAACACTAGTATTAAGATTGATATTACCATTGCCGTTATTAACTCGTTGAATTATTGAAATTCAATCAAACTTTTTACAGAATCCAACTTTTCTATGACCTGATATCAAAGCAAAAAAACAACGTTTCTTTCATTTGCTCTTTTTGACACATATGTAGTCATGTTAACATCTTACCACCCTCAGGGCATTTTTTCCCCTTCTCTGAATATATTGAAAACATCATCCATGTTCCATCCGGTCACTTTTAACCCTTTTGAATTAAAATACGTGTATGCGTCTGTATGTGTGTCGGGGGGGGGGGGGGAGGCGGGATATGCGGGTTGCACGCACGCACCACTTACATAAAAGTTTACATAAGTAACCTATAATATATAATTTTTTTGATTTCCTAAAATTTATTTATTATAAAAGGAAAACAAAAGTGTAATGAAAAATTATTTCGTGTATTTCTATAATAATTAAATCAAGCTGGTCTCGAACTCTGCTACTCTGTCTCTTGTTTTATTGTTAGTGTATGCATTGAAACCAAACTAGCTAGAAGTGATTTTTTTTTGGTCTGAAATAATGTCAACTTCTCGAAATTCTATTCTTGCTTAAAACTAATCTGAAAAAATTAAGCACAAATTAGTCATGCTGTGATTGTTTCCTTTTTCCGGTCAATTAAATCATCATCAGTTACATACAGTCTAACCTACTCATGAGTAGACAATGTTTGTGTGTTATGCAGGTTCATATGTGCGATTGAATGCACACACACACAAGCAAACAACTCGCTTAGTGTGCATATTTATTCAGTGTAGACAAAGGTAGGTGGTATGTCTTGCATTGATCAATGTCACATATTATCTTCGTGTTCTCTTGGCTACCAACCTATACGCCTGTCTGTCTGCCTGCGTGTCCGCCTGCGCACCCACCTACCTCATCCGTTTTTGTTTCACAGAGAAGCCACCTTGTATTAAACAGATAAAATAAATAAATTAGAAACTTTATTCTATTTGCCAAACAGAATTGTGTTTAGAATTTTCATTTCCTGTCAATAGACAGATATGTTTCACAGAGTTCTTCTTCCTTATTTTTCCTTTTTATCTTCCTGGCTTAATTTAAAGACTTTAGGAATTCTCGATTATTTATTAGTTTACACAGACAAGGAATTAGTTTTTTCTTACGATAAGAAAAAGAAATGACCAGAAAAAGACGAATCCATTTCATGTCTACAATTTCCCAGTGTTTCTTCGGTAAAATGATTTGGTGAAGGATGTGAAACACATCCAGTGACCAGGATGACAATATACGAATAAATTAGAATTATCGTAGTTACGTTAAATTTAAAATATAAATTGGGAAAATAGATATTTCCCCATGCCTTTCGTCCCCTCGTAGTGTTATGTTTATGTAGTGAAATTTCTGTCTGAATAAGCAATACAAATGTCGGCAGTTTACATATTACTTGCAGCTGCATGTGTGGGTGGATAATGTGTATGTGAATGTGCGTGTCCCTGTGTATATGGAGATATATACATAAATTACAAGTTCATAAACAGTTTAACTTTTTATGCAATACTGTGCACACCAGTAAACAGTAGTTTAGGGGGTGACTTCATAGGTCACCCTAATAAATACTGAAATAACCAATTAGATTCAAGTATTTTATAAAAATCCGTTTTTTCAGACAAAATAAATAAACATGATTGGTTATTTGAGTCGTTTTCAAGGTGAACTTCAGAGTCACTCATAGTTTACAGATTTACTTTCAAACGGTTACTAAATGTTCACACATTTGTATACATCATATACACAAACGGATTTATTTGGTAAGTTTTGCGTTTTATACTTTTGGCGGAAACTCTTCTCTCTTCAACTTACTCAGGTGTATGCAGCCAGCGAAATCTCTATCGAAGTTCATACAAATTTATTCAACCGATTTCATGAACCGTATCCAACGAATTACGTTAATTAAGTAATTAGTCATATATGCTTGTTAGAAAGGTGACAGTGAGTGGATTTCTAGAGCTTAATTCCTTCTCTCAAGTTAATCATCTCATTTATGGTAAGTTTTGTTGCATCTCAAAGCTGTCTGGATGATGAAAAATTAGCTATTTCTTAAAAGACAACAATATTTGCTGAAATCTTCTTTCTATACAGCATCAGTCACTTTTTAGTGTCCTATCGGTTCATGCTACTGTAGTTTTAATGTCTCTATCATCAAAATATTATTGTTATTTATTCTTTTGGTTCACAGTGGGACATACAGCTTCAGTAGCACGCCACCATTTCACTCTCTACTCTGCAGTCTTTTCAACCTCGCTCCATCAATGCCGACAAGCTTTCGTTTCTTCACACCATCTCTTCAATGTCACCCTCAACTCGGACACACAACTCGTCGTTTCCCATTTGAGTTCCACTCGACGACATGACCTGACATGTGATGTCCCAAACGGTCTTCTCAGTGTATGTCCAATCCATCTCCACTCTCTTCTGCATATTTGTTGGGCGATGGGTTCTTGTTTCATTCGTTGTCATGCCAGACTGAGTTAGTTCCTCGTTGCTTATTCTCATTGCTTTGGCCATCTATCTCATCTTCAGTGTCAGCAGCTGTTGATGTATGTCTGTAGTTTGTTGGCACTACTTTTCTTAAGGCGCTGCTAGGTCTCTCAACCATCACATAGAAGGAGTGACTCACTTGACTGACATTACTTTTGAGAATCTGGATGTTGTTCACGCTTTATGCCAAGTGGAGTGCAGTAGATCTCCACACTGATTTCAGACTAATGTAGAAAGGCCTATCTTACTGTCTTTCCGATCCTGATTGCCTCAACACCCTCATCTATGCTGCCGCCACCGTGGCCTGTAGTTGAAATGATGCTGCCTAAGTAGGTGAGTAGGTGAAAGAGACAACTTCCTTTATGTTTCTCCTGTTGATGGTGATTGGTGTTTCTTGTTGTCGGTTGAGCATCTTCATCACTTCTGCCTTCTCTACGTCCACCTGAAGGAAGTCCCGTCTTTCTTCGCTGCGTCACCTCGCCTCTTCTGCCAACTTGCTAGTTTTCGCATGTAGATCTTGGAGTCTGTGCAACATAAGAAATTAGACATAAACCATCATCGGCTGCGAAATCCAAATCTTCTTCTAGGGTATTTTCATCCATTCAGCCAGCGTTTGCCCATCTCCTAACAGCTCCTCACAGTTCGTTGTATGATCCAGTCAAGTCAAGTCCAGTCCAGTCCAGTCGACCACAATCAGGAAGATCATCAGTGATAGTAGGTGGCAACCTTGTCTTATTCCTGTCCTCTGTAGTCACCTCAAACGCATTATTGTGCGTTCCATTGTATGTTGTGAATCACTTGGCATGTAGCATCTTCATATAGCATATAGCTGCTGTTGAACGAGTTTAATAAAGGTTTGTGGAACTGAAATCGTAGTGTTGAAGCAGCTGCCTGTCAAAATTACTTTTCGGTCGACGCCGTTGAAGGCCTTTTCAAAATCGATAAAGATAAGGTCAGAGTAGCTTATGTGAAATAAAAATCTATGGAATAATTTTCTGTTTCACAATAGTTCACTGGATGATATTTGGTTCAATGTACAATACTGCCTTATTTCTATCAGTTATAGGCTTGTAGTGACAGGTGAAACAAAAGAACAATGAACTGATTTTGATTAGATATCTGAGTAGGAGAGACAAATCACCTCCTCACTACCTATATTCATCCCTATTAAAGATAACCAATATGAGCTGCAATATTGAACAATATCATCCTTTTC